CTTTTCAGAAAGAAGTTCAGACCAGGCTCAAAGTACATGCGAAGCTTCCAACAAATACTATGAGAATTTCAAAGCAGTTTTTCAGAAATATGGAGAAAGAAAAGTTACATGCTATAAATTCTGAAGAAAGGTGTGTCCTCCAGGGCAGATGGAAGTCAGACGAATGTGCAAATGCAGTCATGAACTTCTTATCTAGGAAAGTCAAACTGCGATAACAGTTACAACCAAGACAAGTACATCAAGGAAAGGGATGTTGTGGTTGTTACCTAATTTAATGTCAACTTGACAGAGTGTAGGGGTGGAATCTAGCCTGTCAATCAAGTCACCCCCTGATGATGTCTCCTTGTGGGTGTGACCTTCTCATAAGGAGAGTCCTGGGGAACAACCCCTCTCTCTCTGACTTCATCTTCCTGCGGGCAAACCACTTGGAGTCCTGCCAGAGACCTACATGAGCCCTGGAGATGCATCCACTGTGTTGGATCCACAAGACTTTGCACCCACCGGCCTGTGATTTTCCTGCATCATTGCATGTGGCTTTGTGAATCTGAAAAGGGGGTTATGAACTAGAATTGGGCTTATGGACTAGTATCAGACTTAATGGACTTGAGTTGGACTAGGCCGGGATATATTCCTTGTATACAGTTACTTCCTGATATAAAGCTCTCTCCTACACATATATTTGAGTGTCACTGAATTTATTTCTCTAGTCAATCTGGCTTCACACAGGTGTGATATTATGATTTATCATGTTTGAACTAAGTAAACTTCCATTGTGCCTTTTTCAGCACTAATGCATGTTTGGTTTTTTTGGTAGGAAAATGCATTTTATTTAATGACCAAGGACACAGACAGAAATACTAAAACAATATTTGCTCTTTCTACATGGGATGCATTTTTAAAATCCACGTTCTTTCATTAAAAGTTAGTTAATTTTAGAAGCTATTAATGCTATAATCCATAATGACTCTAGAGCACTAATATAGGCTAATTTATCAATTAAGAGGCATGGAGAGTCTTCCTCCCCCTTGGGATTGGTTCCATCCAGTATTCGCTGCACTCAGAGGCGGGATAGGGAACAGCCGCTCACTGTGTTCTGCGTGGGCGTAGCGCCGGCTTTCCTTCCCAGGCCCGATCGTTGAGAGAAATGACCATATGTCTATGCTGCACATTATATATGTACACATGATTTCATTTTCTCCTCACAACAACCCTGTGAGGTAGGCAGGAGAAGTAGGATCAGATTCACTTTACAGATGCTGAACTTCAAGTTGAAGCGCGGTTCAGTGATTGCCCCAGTTAGCTTTTCCCTAGTCAGAGGAGGGGCAGCGTGTGAACTGTGGGGCTTTGACTTTAGGGGAGGGCTCTTTCCTCCAAACCACCTAGGCCCTCATAGTACACTCGAAAACAGAGTTCTTCTCACCACTTTATCATTTATTTGGACAGTGTTGACTCAAGTTATTAAACAAAATCCTGATTCTAAAATTATGACAAATTTATACCAGAGATTCAAACTGGCTCATTCTGGTTTGACACCCACTCCCTGGGAATCTGCATTTTCCTCCCATGACATTCAAGGTCTCCAGGTGATCGATTCTTAAGAGAATCAGATCTTTTTTAAAAAGTTTCAGCTAAGGTGGAAAGGCAAATTCTCAGCAGGGAGCCAAGCGACTAAACCAACTTGAGGCCCTGGTTTATACTTTTCTACCAATAAAAACTTAGGCCACAAAACATGTATTTTGGGGAAAGCACTGCTTCTTTGACTCTAGTCTAAAAGAACAAAAGCAATATGACCCCAGAGGCCAAGGAAATTGAAGACCGATGAAAGGCGACATAATGAAATGCATTCATGGGGTTTGGTCCCTTTAAGTGTTCACTTTTGCAACAGGGTTCAATGGAGAACTCTAATGCAGATGAAACTTGAAGCTTCTGAAGAGGATTGAAGTCTTGATGAGGTTATTCAAACTCAAATCTTGAATGCGTAACGAAGGGACGCCATGGTCTTCAAAAACTTGATGCTTGATGCCCTCCCAGAATGTTATGATTTGAATGCCACAATACAAACTGATTCATATTTTTGTCCCTTGATGATCCGTGAGCTTCTTTAAATGAGGTCCATGTTAGAGTTCACAGATACCAGTGTTCCTCAAAACTGCCCTGGGTCCAAGGTTCCTCCTACTAATATATCTCTTATGACAATTATACTTCATTAAAACTACTAGCCAAGATCATTGGAAGACAGATGAGACTGACTGCTCCTATAAAGAGTTACAGCCCCAGAAAACTTAGATTGTGTCACTGTGAGTTAGAATTTACTGATAACATCAGCTTGGGTGTTTTTAGAGCCCTAATGGTGAAATAATAAGGTGAAGAAAGATAATGGCTCCCAGCTATCAAAATATATAGCATCTGGGGTCTTAAAGGCTTGAAGAGAAACAAATAGCCATCTAGCTAAGAAACAACAAACCCCACATGGAAGAAGCATACCAGCCTACCTAGACACGATCGCTGAAGGCTAAGTGGGTGCATGAGCAAATGCGGTGAAGAAAGCTGATGGTGCCCGGCTGTCAAAAGATATAGAATC